GGAGCAGGACGAGCAGGAGAAGGCGGAGGAGCAGGAGGAGCAGGAGGAGCAGGAGGAGCAGGAGCAGGAGCAGGAGCAGGAGGAGCAGGAGGAGCAGGAGCAGCATGAGCTAATTTAGAAGTACCAGGACATGGATGGACTGAGAGCAAAGAAAGATCAAGGGTGGATAGAGAGGAGGAGGTCAATTTTACGAGACTGGATACAGAGTAAGAAAGGACTTCATTGTAGCACATATAATGCCAATGTTGTTAAACATCTTTGATGTCGAGGAGCTCGTGAAAGCGTCTTCTTCTGTCATGTTGAGCGCATGCGAACCTTGGCGAGTCCAACACGCACCCTGCAACCCCCGAATCGCTGCATCATCCTGACCTCTTGCCAGTTGCAGGTTGAAGCTCGTGTGGACCGGGTGGCCATGTTATCTTCGGTTCGCATGTCCATCGCTTCAAGGCTGCACTTAGCGAACATAGTAGCGCCATGCATACCCTGCTTCTGGAAAATCTCAAGCCATGGTGCTTGCGCTCCATCCCTCACGGCTCTCCCTTCCTTGAGGCAGATGTCAAGGGCGTCATCTGCCAGAAACAGTAGCCATGCCAGTGACCCTGAGGCTTCAGGCGATTCTGCAAGTGGAAGGAGCAGTCAAGGGAAGACAATGAACTTGTGGCAGGCAAGAAAACAGCTCAGTGAACTTAGGAAGAGGAAGAAGGAGATGAAGATGGAGGACGAGATGGTCTGCGGGCCTTCCCACTCGGCGATGCAGCATCCTGTCTTCATCAAGGCGGTGGTAGAGCAGAGTCTTCGCAGCATGCTGCAGCTGAGGTCCCAAGAGAAGAAGATGCGAATTCAGCTGGACTTGGAGCAGCTGGGGATGCAGTACCTCCGTGAAGTGCTCGAGACAAATTTCCCCATCTCGGCGCTGCCCTACAAGCTCAAGGTGAACCAGATCGGCTTCGAGAAGACCAACGTCAAGCTGCGAAAGTGCGTGGGTACCCTCACCGACGAAAAGTCGATCCAGGTGCTCCGGAAGTTGCTGGTGGGCTCAAATGGATACTCGCCCACTTTCGAGATCGAGATAGCTCTTGAAGATGATGTCAACGTGTTCCAGTACTCCGAGGACGTTGTGAAGATGAAGCGGCTGGCGGAGCAATCGACCCACTACTGCATGATCTCCTTCTACAGCTTCACCCCCATCGCTCACCCCGACCTGGTCGTCGAGGAATACCTGAGAGACTGGGAGCCTGTCGGGATCCTCGGGCGTACCTACGTGGCTAAGGAGGGAGTCAACGCTCAGCTGGCTGTGCCTTGCGAGGTGGTGGGTTGGTTGGAGTCCTATGTCCAGCAGAGGCCCGAGCTGCAGGGACAGGCAGTTCTGAATCGCGACCCTGTGCTTGTGCGCAAGGAGGAAGAAGGGACAAACGCTCCCTTCGAGAGTCTGCACGTGAGGACACGACCGTACGTGCTGATGGACGGGATGGAGCGCAAACTAGAGTGGACGGACGCTGGGGAGGAGCTCTCCCCTAAGGAGTGGCACGAGAAGCTGAAAGAGGCGGCGGCGGGGAAGGGGTCGAACGGGAAGGAGGTGGTGATCTTGGACTGCAGGAACACCTACGAAAGCGACTTGGGGAGGTTCGATGGGGCGGTCCCTCTCAATACAATCAAGTTCAGCGAATCCTGGAATGTCATTGAGAGCCAACTACAGGGCCGTCAGCCTGACAAGACAGGTGCCTTGCCTCCCCCCTCTCCCCCTCCCTGCCTCCTGCCTCCTGCCTCCTCGACCCTCCTGCCTCCTGCCTCGTCCTGCTCCCTGCTGCGGGTCCAAATCTTGTTGTTCTGTCCGCACATGCTTTCTCCTTCTTTCTCCGCCCTTTCCTTTCAAACTCCCGGCTCCTCCTCGCAAAATAGTGATCCATCGCGCTCCTCCTCCTCAGCTGACCTGACCTCCCTTGCGACAGAGGTCATGATCTATTGCACTGGAGGCATCCGTTGCGTGAAGGTGGGCGCGTACCTAAAGCAGAACATGGGCTTCAAGGATGTGAAGAGACTGCGAGGAGGGATCGTGAGCTACCTCCGAGACCTCAACGAGACGTGCGGAGGAGACGAGAGGGAGATGGAGAAGGCCTCCTTGTTCAAGGGCATCAACTATGTCTTCGACGGGAGGGTCGGCCAGCTTGTCACCCGGGATATTCCGATCGACCGCATGCCAAACTCCACAGGGGAGCCACTGTTGAAGGATCAGGACGGAAACCTCATCCCAGTGTCCGGGCCCGAGGTACCGGACCAGTACGACAGGTGCAGGAAGATCCGGGAGTGCGTCTCAGCGGCGTTCGCCTCGAGGTTTGGGGAGGCAGCGAAGAGGCCAGAGGAGGACGAGAACGGCAGCTCTCTCGCTGAGACGAGCCCAGCACATGAAGAGCAGCCAGCGGGAGGTAGCGAGCAGGTCGAGCTGACAAACGAGTCCGCGAGAGCCGAGGCGTTTTGCGCCTACTTCTCGCAGTCGTATCTGCGGGAAGCCGAGCTCTTGCAGGAGCTGACGGAGGAAACAAGGAAATCCTTCCCTGTTGTCCATCACATGTGCTCCGGCCCGTTGCAGGTTCGGTGGGAGAGAGGGCGGGTTGGCGGCTGACTGTTGCGAGCAGGGGAGCTTCCTCACCTTCCTCTGTGAGCTGTCTCGGGCACGGAGGGTGCTGGAGGTCGGCTGCTTCACCGGCTACACCACCATGTGCTTGGCCAGCAGCAGGGACGTCGAGGCTGTCATCTCCATCGATCGAGATTCCAAGACTTCGAAAGTGGCAAGGAGCTTCTTCGAGAGGTCGAAGTTCGGCCACAAGATCCAGCTGAGGGTGGGAGACTCCCAAGCGATCCTGACTGAGCTTGTGGAGGAGAAGCAAAAGCCCTTCGACCTGGTCTACCTCGATGCCGCTAAGCGCAGCTACCTCGAGCAGGTGGAGGAGGAGGAGGAAGCGGGGGGGGGGGTGAGAGGGAGGAGGAAAGGGTTGGGTGCTAAGGGGAACGGGAATGCTGAGTGAAACGAGGATCATTCCTACCGTGGACTTGACCCTGCGCTGTCGCAGAGGAACTTCCTACTGGAGCACGGGCTCATCCCGGTGGGAGGTCTTGTGCTGGCTGACAACATCCTGTGGCGAGGAAGCACGATCGATGAGCATGACAAGGTCCTCCAGTCCGGAGAGAGGAAGGTGCCGGAGACCAGAGATGACAAGGTTGCCCTGCTTGCCTCCTCGCTGCTCCTGAGTAGTTCCAACAGATCGTCGCTGCCATGCTCGACTACGTTCAGAGCGGGAGTACAAGCGCGCAGGTGAGGCTGGAGTGAGCAGGATCAGGGGGTGACGTGTGGTTGCAGTTCGAGCAGGTGGTGGTTCCCTTCCGAGATGGCATCAGCATAGTTAGGAGAATAGCGTGAGATGCTCTATTAGCAATGAAAACTTGTTGACCATGATGACATCAGCAGTCCTCATCATTCAAAAAATTGTTTATGAAGATTCACACCAGTGCTCCTATATCACAAAAACTTGACCACCGTCGAAGCTTCCTTTCTGTCGCATATACAAGCAGGCCCGTGGGCGAGGGAGAAGAAGATAGAAAAAAACGAGGAAGAGGAGGACGAGGAATAGGAGGACGAGGACGAAGACGAGGCCTGAAACTTAATCACTGTCCTCCCTCTCGTAGATCACTGCAGTGCTGTAAAGCCCACGAGGAGGAGGCAGAACCGGGTGCGACGGATCGAACGTCTCGAACCCAGGATGGAACTTCCCGTCTACGGTGGAGCCGATAAAAGGCATGAAGACGGACCTGCTCCCGCACGGTTTCTTCTGCGACTTGAAGGAGCTCGTGCTCTTTACCCGTAGAGCATCCTGCATCCTAGAGCACACGTTCTCGACCCTCGAGCCAACAAACTCTGCAAGCACATTGGCTGCGGAGTATGAGAACATCTCCCTGGGTATGGAGGACACGTCGTCGGATGTCGTGTCGTCGGAGGAGTAGCAGTCGTCCGAGAGCTCCACCATCTCCTGGTTCAGCATCTCATCCGTCCTCTTACACACTTTCAACAATGTCGAGTATGCCTCCAGCAGGAAGCTGCCAGTCTCCTGCTCTGCGCACTCCTTCGGATGCGGTCTAGCTCTTCTCATTGCCCTGCTGCTATTTACGTTCCCTGCTTCTGCTCCATAGTAATGTAGATTTTCTCTCAAAGATTTGCTCGTTTGCCTTGATATGAGGTTGCTGGGTCTGTACACCATGATGCCGGAATCTCCGTCCACGATTCAAATTATACCAATAATTTCGTTTTCTTTGACAGAATTATCTGAGGTTGAGCTTGAAATATTTGCTGGAAGTCGCCGCGAGACGTTCCTACGAGCTTGTGTCCTGAACCTTCTTCAATCGAAGCCAACAATCCAGCTCTTATTCCCCCCCTTCGAACCAAACTTGTTCTTGACTCACTGTCTGTCTGTCTTCCTCTCTGTCACTCTATCTATGTTCCTCTCTCTCCCTCAAGCTCTCTTCCCCTTCCTGGTTGACCTCCTGTCTTCTTGTTTCCTGTCGTCACGCCTTTCCCTCCGATCCTGGTTCCCACCCCACCCTCGTCCATCCAGCTCGGTCTGTAGTAAAATACAACAAAACACAACACCACCCCTCAAAAAATACCCCTACCTCCTTTCTTCTCAATAAATAGACCCTGTTTGTCTTATAAAATTTGGTGGTCTGAATACCCCTACCCCTCTTGTCCATACCAACAATTACAGTCTCATTCCCCGGATACCCTGACCCAGTTCACCGTTTGACTACCCCCCACCCACTCATTCAATTTACACCCACCCCAGGTTTTGGAAAAATTCTTACCCCCCTTGCTTTGTGTAAGTTCTTCTACCCCCTACCATCCTAAATACCATCAAGTACCCACCCATTTATAGGCTTCAATCCTCAATCCTTCCATCCCCTGTACTAGAAGGACAACTTTCCCCCATTGTACCCACCCATTAGTTGATGACCCACCCACAAATCAACTTCCTTGCACCCCACCTGCTGAAGAAAGCTTCCGTCTCCCAAAAAGACACAAAATCGCAACCTTTCCGACTACCCCACCACCCGTCCAAAGAGGGACCACTCCTGTATCTCCAGTTTGACTGGAGGTACCAAATACCACCAGGTGGTGTGCGAGTGGAACCTATTTCCCAAAGTCATACCCGTACTTTGACTACCCCTACCCCCTGATCTCCTGATTTCTTTCTGACCTAGCGATAGGATAATCCAATCACCCCCACCCCCCGATTTCGATTCTGTGCCTACCTACCACCCACAATTCCATTACCCCTACCCCTTTTCAATGAGACCACCCTTCGGACTTGACCGTATGATTCTCACAATTTGACCCACCCTTCGATAGAGATTGTGAGTACCCCACCAATTCTTTTACGTACACCCACCCCCTAGATACCACCCCCCTTGTCCACGTTCTGTACCAGGGGGCTCGAGATAGTTAAAATAGGGGTGCTCCGATTGCCATGTGGTCAACCCCCAATTTGTTTTTTTTCTTCCCAGTACCCCTCCCTCCTGTTTCAGACCCCTTACTTGGTACCACAGTTCTCCTCCATCCCACTACACCCTCCACCCCCTTGGACCACCACCACCTTCCATCGACCAGCACCCCTTCCACCCAGTCCTATCTCAACTGACCTACCCCTGACCATGGCCTCCCAATCTTGTCATCGTTCTTACTACATGTCCAGATACCCCACTATTCCGCACGAACGAGGGGGTACTTCATGCACCCCCCACCCCTATCCCCCAGCCTCAAATCGTGTTACTATTGCACCACCCATCTGGACTGCCCCGATCTCCACAATCCCCCATCGGAGCTCCCCTTGCCCCACCCCTACCCATCTCTTTTCCAGTCCAATTGCCCGTCTTAACATACCCACTACCCCTCCAACTCCCTTCTACCACCCTGTTTCTCTAGGCAACTACAGGACCTGCTGGCACATATAAAGGAACGATGATGTCACAGTCCGACTCGCCTCAGCCAGTCGGTCCATTATGCGGCTCCGGGCCGGGGGGCCATACCGGCCCGGGGGGCCATACCGGCCCGCCGGGCCCGGCGGCACTAGTACTCGAGTGAGCCTCCTCTTCTCTTCGTACAGATTTTTAACTTAACTTTGAGTAAAGTGAGCAGACGCAACTTCCGAGTTCTGACTGTGCTGAAATTTTCAAGGACAGCATAATTTGAATTAAGTTTGGCCTCAAGGAATATTTCACTGTCTCAGTGATATTTTTAGTTACAGTTTAGAGGCCGATGAGTTTGACTGCTCTCATGCCATGATGCTGCCTCGCCAGGGATCGCCGTGATGGCAGAGCCATGAAGGCTGAGAGCTTCATGGAGGACCGTCCGACACTGAGAGATCATGAGTCGGGAGGACGCCGCTGAGTCGGACAGCGCGGCCGGTCGAGGCCCACGGTCGCGTCACTGTGACGGGCAATGGAGTGTGACTGGAATTTATGCTCCCCACTGCTATGATGGAGGGTTCTTTGTTCCAGGAAAGCGCCATGGTTCGATAGTCAGACGCTGAACGAAAAGCCTTCAACCCGGCGTGACTGACTGTGAGTGCCCGTGAGTTTCCTGACTCGGTGAGAGCTGAAAGAGGACTCGGGCAAACCAGCTGGAGATCCTTGCAAGACTCAGAGAGGAGCCAGAAGCTTGCGCTCACTGGGTAGCGGTCAGCGCAGCTTGTGGAGACTCTTGGACGCGGGTGCGTGGTCAGGCTAGTATCGTTGAGGACGAGATGCATCCGAGAGTCTGACGTCGCCCTGACCCTCCACTCTGAAGAGGAACCTTGCAACGGGTCAGTGAACGCTGCAGGTAAGTGAGTATGCGGGAGGGATACCCTGAGAGGAGGGAGAAATCATCCTAGATCCAACCGCCTCTGGCACATGCCCCTTGCTGACCTTCCCCGCAGGACAACGAAAACATCGCCTGCTCCTCTCCCCCCCTGCCCCCCGCCCCCCCCCCACCCTTGCTCCCTCAGCAGACGCTCCTTGCGATCCTCCCCTGAAACGGGGGGCCCAGCATCATCATTGCAGCGCAGCAGCAGAGGATGAGTTGTCTTCTGCGCTCGCTCTTCTTCCTTGCTCTCCTCGCATCCATCACCGAGTGTACCCAGACCCTGGAGGGACTGGCTCTGCTCTTTCCTCACAACCTGACCGATCCAGAAGGAGATATCCTGGCAGAGGCTGAGTGGGTGCCGCGGCCACTGGCAGGAGCAGCAGATAACTTCGAGACAAGGCTCTTCTCGCAGCAGCTCAGCGCTGCCAGGCACCTGCTCCGCACGAGGAGGCTAGAGGAGGCCCTGCACACGTGTGGGACAGTCCTGCTCATACTTTATCCTCATGCTCCCTGCCTGAGTATCGTCTCCATCGTGCTTGATGAGTTGGGTCAGCACAAGAACGCGAGAAAGGCGGCTAGGGACTCAATCGACGCGGACCCCACGTGGATGGACTCCTACCCCCTGCTAGCTCGCCTCCTGTCTGACCAGGTGGGGAGCAGAAGAGGGACAGAGGAGGAGGAGGAGGAGGAGGAGCAGTTGTTGGTCCTGTTGACGGCCCGAACGTCCGGCAGGCGTCGAGGTACCTTGCCAGGGGAAACGTCGAGGGAGCGTACGAGTGTTACAGACAGATCCTGCTGCTCGACATGGACGGTCGGTGCTGTGAGGGGGAAGGCGAGGTTTGCTAGTGACCTCTTGCTCAACGAGCAGGTCACATCTTGCCAAGGGAGTGACGGCCCGAGCTTACTACGACCTCGGCTCGACCATGAGGACCATTGGCATGATGGAGCATGTGAGATTTTCTTTGACAGCGATGATGACGACGATGCTCTTGATGATTGTGGTGACGTTTGCAGGCTCGGACAAACTTTGAACGAGCGATCGCTGTGGACCCGAGGCAAGTGACGCGTGATGGGGTTGGAGGGCTGGACTGTCTTCGGTGCTGAAGACTTCACAGTCTCTATGATGCCCAGAGGAGTCTTGTTGAGATCATGATGGAGAAGGAGGAGTCAGATGCCAAGTTTCCGGATCAGTCCATCTTTCCCCTGATGGAAAGAGCTCTTCATCTCCAGTAAGACAACACGCCCCCGTCTTGCTCTCTTTCATTCCTGATGTCTCGCACGCTAACAGGCATTCTTGGAGCCTTTGGTTCAAGGTGGGTGCTTACGCGGGTGTGGGGCGATGGCAATCTGAGCAGGAGAGCAGTTCGTTCGACTCCGTCAGGGCTGCTTCAACTGGACAGATCGTCCTGCTCTCCTCCAGGTGGGCAGGATGGCCTGCGGCGAGGAGCCTGACGGTGTTGGAAGGCTGCAAGTGAGATGGTGGATGATGACGTGGCTTACAATCATTGCTCTGTCCATCCCTCTCTCCTCCTCGACATGGCGATCCCGGCACACGTCGTATCAAGATGTATCCAGGTGCAACAAGTTCAACTCACAGCCGACAAGACTGACGTCTGACGGCCCTCCCTCGCTCTCCCTCGCAGTTGTACATGCAGGACGTTCGAGCCAGCCATCGAAAGCTCGCTAAGAGCATCGGGGAAAGGCTCCAGCGGTCAAACTCGACGTCTTCCAAGCTGAGGATCCTCTACCTGGTCTCCAGATCGTTCACGTCCGACAGCGTCGACGCTCAGTCTCTACAAGTCTGCCTGTCCCCCTCGTCGGAAACTTCTCACTATTCAACTTCCTACAGGCTCTACTTTCCATGCACAGCAGGTCAAACTTTCACGTCATGTGCGGGCTGATCAACAAGAACCTCGTGGAGCCTCAGCTCAGCGAGCAGCAGCAGCAGCAGGCGAGCGCCGCGTGCGACGAGCTGATCGTGCTGCATGCCATCGGGACGGCGGAGGCTAGCGTGGAGCATCAGATTGCAAAGGTGCGAAGAACGAGCATAGCGAGGAGACGAGAGCAGAAGAATAGGAGGGCAGGTTGGGGCAAGGAAGAGGAGGAGCGGGAAGGGAGCAGGAGCAGGAGCATGATGAACTTTGTGCGCAGGAGATCTCTGACCTCTCCATTGACATCCTGGTCGACTTGAGCGGACACAACGAGCTCTCCTCTGCTCCTCTCCTCTCCTATCGAGCTGCCCGCCTGCAGCTCACCTGGCTTGTGCCCCCTCCCTCCTCCCGCCAGAGCTTCTCGCTGACCCTTCTCCCAGGGTTTCCCCGCGAGCTTTGGAGGGGAGGAGGTTGCTCTGAAGCTCACGGACATCGTCTCCTCCCCTCCTGATCTTCTCTCCCTGTACTCAGGTCGGTGCGAGAGGGATGGCACGAGCTCATGGTCTCCTTGCAGAGCCCCTCCTCCTGCTGCCCCGATCCCACGTGTTTGCCGGCAAGGTGCGAGCTGAGGATGAGATGGTGAAGACGAAGAGGAGGGGAAAAGGAGAGGAGAGGAGAGGAGAGGAGAGGAGAGGAGAGGAGAGGAGAGGAGAGGAGAGGAGAGAAGAGAAGAGGAAAAGGGTGGATTTCAAGGAAATACTGTTTGTTTTGATTTTGAACTTCAATCCTTGCAGACAAGAGCACAAGAAGAAGATGCGGCGATCTTGAGGAACAAACTTGTGAGTGTAGTGCTGCTGCTGCTGCTGCTGCTGCTGCTGCTGCTGCTGCTGCTGCTGCTGCTGCTGCTGCTGCTGCTGCTGCTGCTGCTGCTGCTGCTGCTGCTGCTGCTGCTGCTGCTGCTGCTGCTGCTGCTGCTGCTGCTGCTGCTGCTGCTGCTGCTGCTGCTGCTGCTGCTGCTGCTGCTGCTGCTGCTGCTGCTGCTGCTGCTGCTGCTGCTGCTGCTGCTGCTGCTGCTGCTGCTGCTGCTGCTGCTGCTGCTGCTGCTGCTGCTGCTGTCGCATAATACTGTTCGTTGCACTCCCCGTGTGTTGTACCTGGCTCCATCCCATTTCGCCGGCTACTCCTGCTTCCTCTTGCACGCTGACGCTCTTCCTCGAGGAGCCTCTCTTGTGAGCTCATCTCCTCATCATCAGGAGCGTCACACGTTTGTCTTCGCCTTCGCCGGAGATCTTGCGAGGAT